GAAAATTTTCCAATAAACAACCAATTGTTAAACCTCAAGTAACTAGAAAGGCAAGAACAAACTAAACTCAAAATTAGTAGAAGAAAAGCAGTAATAAAGATCAGAGCAGGGCCAAACACAGTGGCTCATGCCTGTAATCTCAGTAATTTGAGAGGCCAAAGCAGGCAGATCACTTGAGGCCAGGAGTTTGAGACCAGCCTGGCTAACATGGTGGAACCCTGACTCAACTCTAAAAAATACAAAAAAATTAGCTAGGCATGGTGGCGCACACCTGTAATCCCAGCTACTCAGGAGGCTGAGGTAGGAGAATCGCTTGAACCTGGGAGGCAGCAGTGAGCCAAAAATAAGCCACTGTACTCCAGCCTAGGCAGCAGAATGAGACTCCANAAAAAAAAAAAATTAGAACAGAAATAAATAAGAGACTAAAAATTATACAAAAGATCAATAAAATAAAATATTGTTATTTTGAAAAAGATAAACAAAACTGACAAAACTTTAGTTAGACCAACTAAGAAAAAAGTTAGAAAACCCAAATAAGTGAAATCAGAAGTGAAAAAGAAAACATTAAAACTGATACCACAGAAATACAAAGGATCATTACAGACTACAATGAACAACTTTATACCAACAAATTGGAAATCCTCGAAGAAATTAACAAATTCCTGAATACATATAACCTACCAAGATTGAACCATGAAGAAATAGAAAACCTGGACAGACTAATAATGAACAAGATTAAAGAAGTATTAAAAATAACCCCATCAAAGAAAGACACAGGACCTGATGGATTCACTGCTGAATCTTAGCAAACATTTGCAGAAGAACTAATATCAATTCTATTCAAATTATCTCCCAAAATTGTAGAAGAGAGAATACTTCCAAACTCATCATATGAGGCCATCATTACCTTGTCACCAAAACCAGACAAGGACACAACAACAGCAACAAAAGAAACAACAGACCAATATTCCTGATTAACATAGATATAAAAATCCTCAACAAAATACTAGCAAATAAAATTTAGCAACACATTAAAAATAGCATTCACTTTAATCAAGTGAAATTTTTCTCAGGAATGTAAGAATGATTCAACATAGGCAAATTAATCAATGTGTTACATCTCATCAACAGAATGAAGGACAAAATAAATGATCATTTCAATTATTGCTGAAAAAGCATTTTATAAAATTCAAATATCACTTTATAATTTTAAAAATCTCAAGAAATGAAAAAATATTACATGCTCATGGATTGGACAAATTAATATTGTTTAAACTGTCTATACTACCCAAAGCAACCTACAGATTCAATGCAATTTCTAACAAAATACCAATGGTATTCTTCACAGATAATAATCCTAAAATTCATATGGAATCAAAAAGGCACTGTATAGCTAAAGCAATTCTAAGCAAGTAGAACAAATCTTTAGGCATTACATTACCAGATTTCAAACTGTACCATAAAACTATACTAACCAAAACAATATGGTACTATTTATGATATTGACATAAAAACAGACACATAGAATAATGGAACAGAGTAGAGACACCAGAAGTAAATCTATACACTTACAGCCAACTCATTTTTGGCAAAAGTGACAGGAATGTATATTTGAGAAAAGACAGTATCTTTAATAAATACTGCTGGGAAAATTACATAACCATGTACAAAATAATGAAACTAAATCCCCAACTTTCACTATATATAAAAATCAAGTCAAAATGGATTAAAGACTTAAATTTAAGCCCTGAAATTATAAAACTACTAGAAGAAAATATTGGGGGAAACAACATAGCACATTGGCCTGGGCAAAGATTTTTTTGGGGTAAGACCACAAAAGCACAAATAAGAAAAGCAAAAATAAACACATGGAATTACATTAAGCTAAAAAGCTTCTGCAAAACAGACTATGGAATGGAAGAAATTTTTTGCCAACTATCCATCTGATAAGGAATTAATAAGCAAAATACATAAGTAATTTAAACAACTCAGTAGCAGAATGATAATAGTCTTATATTAAAATATTGGCAAAAGACCTGAATAGACATTTCTCAAAAGAAGATATACAAACAACCAACAAGTAAATGAGAAATGCTCAATATCATTGATCATCTGGGGAACGCAAATCAAAGTCACAATGAGATATCATCTCACTCCAGTTAGAATAGCTGCCATCAAAACAACAACAGATAACAAATGCTGGTGAGGATATGGAGTAAAGGGAGTGCTTGTACACTTTTGCTAGGAATGTGAAATAATACAGTCATTATGGAAAACAACATAGAAGTTCCTCAAAAAGTTAAAAATAGAACTACCACATGATCCAGCAATCCCACTGCTGTGTATATATCCAAAAGAAAGGAAAGAGTTTATTGAAGAGGTACCTGTACTCCCATGTTTGTTGCAGCACTGTTCATAATAGCAAAGATGTGGAATCAACCTACGTGCCCATAAACAGATGAGTGAATAAAGAAACTTTAGTGTATATACACAATAAAATACTATTCGGTCATAAGAAAGAATAAAATCCTGTCATTTACATGGAACTCTAATTCATTATACAAAGGGAAATAAGCCAGGCACAGAAACACAAATATCACATGGTCCCACTCATATGCAGGAGCTAAGAAAGTGGAATTCATAGAGGTAGAGAGTACAGCAGTGGTTACCAGAGGCTGGGAAGAAAATAGTAAGATGAAGAGAAGTTGCTTAGTATGTACAAAAATATAATTAGTTAGAAAAAAATAAGTTCTGGTATTTGATAGTATAATAGGAAAATTATAGTTAAAAATAATTTACTGGCCGGGCGCGGTGGCTCAAGCCTGTAATCCCAGCACTTTGGGAGGCCGAGGCGGGTGGATCACGAGGTCAAGAGATCGAGACCATCCTGGTCAAC